GCAATCATAGGGCTCATTGCTTGTTTTTTTCTCCTTGGGCTCACAGACTGCTGTTTCAGGTCTGCAATCAGTTGTTGCATATATTTTGTTCAGTGTGTTACCTGGTTATGGTGAAAAGGTAAGGCCAGAGCCTGTTACTCCCCATGGCTGCTAATGGCAGTGTGCCAATTTAATCATGACATATTTTATTTACTACATTTAACAAATGTTTCTGGAACACCTATTGTTGAAAGTCTGGGAACCCAGAGATAAGAGAGTCACAGGCCAATGCTATGGAAACAAGTAAAAAGTTACAATAGTGTGGCAGCTTTCAAATATGGCCCCCAAATTCTTTAATACTCTTTCCATGGAGAGGTGGGATTTATTTCCTTTCCCCTAGAGTGTAGATGCTGCAATTGCTTGTCCAGTGGTATATGACAGAAGCACTGCTATGCCCACTTTCTAGTTCAGGTCTTGAGAACTGGGAGTTTCCTTTTCCTGCCTCTTACAATGCTCAGTCCAACGTGCTGACACACGGGAGGTCCCCTGCAGGTGTTCCGGCCGACAGCCCCAAAGACCCAGCCAATTGCCAGTGTCAACCACCAGTTATGTAAGTGTGCAAGCTTTCAAAAGACTGTAGTCCTGGTGAATGATCCCAGCCTTGACCACCCTCTTACTGACCTTGTATGGAAGACAGGCAAGTTATGCCCACAGAGTTCTGTCCAAGTTTTTGATTTGCAAGCAAAAGAAATGATTATTGTTGTCCTAGGTCGGAAACTTTGGGGTGATTTTTATGTAGTAAAAGATACTGAATACCATTAAGTGCTATGATAGAAATGGTCAATAATCAATTAACTAACAAATACTTACTATTTGCCTATTACAGTTCAGAATTGGAATTTGAGTGGAGATTAGGAGAAGGTATAGAATCAGAGCAGGAAAGTAGAAAGAAATGCTTGTTTGAAGACATGGAAAATATGGGGGACTCTGAAAGACTAAAGTAGAGGGCCTGAGAAACTAGTTTTTTAAAAATGAGATTTTCAGGGATCAGTTCTATAAGGATGTAATACTAAGGAATTAAGACTTATTTATTTATTTAGTGACTGCATTCCCCATCAGCTATACTCTATAAAAGAGCTTTAATCTCTGTGTTTCCAGCATCTAGTATGGTACTTGGTACACATAAGGAGTTAATAAATATTTATTAAATGACTGACTGAAGAACCATGTGATAACTTCAAAGGAATAACATAATCAGATTTTTGTTTTAGAAAAATCATTCCAGCAGGGGTATGGAGAAACGTAGGTGTATTTATTCAGCTGTTATAAGAAAATGTCTTAGGCTAGGGGCTTAAACAAGAGATTTTTAAAAACAGTTCTGGAGACTGGAAATCTGAAATCAGGCTACCAGCATGATCAGGTTCTGGGGAGCATTCTCTTTCTGGCTTGCAGACACAGCTGCCTTCTCACTGCGTCCTCATGGTAGAGAGGTAGAGAGAGTAAGCTCTCTGGTATCTGTTCTTATAATGGCACTAATCCGACCACAAGGGCCCCACCTTCATGTCCTCTTATAAATGTAATTGCTTATCTACCCAGAGAAGGAAATGGCAACCCACTGCAGTGTTCTTGCCTAGAGAATCCTATGGACAGAGGAGCCTGGTGGGCTGTCGTCTATGGGGTCGCACAGAGTCGGACACGACTGAAGAGACTTAGCATGCATGCACTGGAGAAGGAAATGGCAACACATTCCAGTATTCTTGCCTGGAGAATCCCATGGACAGAGGAGGTTGGTGGGCTACCGTCTATGGGGTCGCACAGAGTCAGACATGACTGAAGTGATTTAGCAGCAGCAGCAATTATCTACCAAAGGCTTGATCTCTAAATATTATCACATTGGTTGGTAGTCATCACTTCAACATACAAATTTTGTGGGGACATGATTCAGTCCACAGCAGTAGGAAAGGAGAAAAACATAGCAGGAGATAAATGTAAAAAATCATCTAAAAGATGATGGGAGTGTGAACTGAAGTAGTGTTAGTAAGGTTCTGTTTTTTAAACCTTAAAATTTTCCTGGAGTAACTCTATTTGCATGGAGGTGTCTTCTTCTTTTTTTAATGTAGTAGAATTTTCAAAATCAAACCAAGAAAGAAAAAGGGAATAATATATCAAAATTAACCACAGAATCTAGTAAACACATATTACAGAAAACACTTTAATATTTCTTTTTGTCTGATGCCCAGTCCTGTCTGACTTTTTGCGACCCCATGGGCTGTAGCCCACCAACCTCCTCTGTCCATGGCAAGAATTCTGGAGTTATCAGGGTATCTTCCTGACCCAGGGATCAAACCTGCATCTCCTGTGTCTATTGCATTGCAAGTGGATTCTTTACCACTGAGTCACTATGGAAGCCCCTGAATATGTCACTACAATGTTTTTAAAACTATGGTAAAAGTAAAAGTGAAACTCATGTAGCTTCAATGTTTTAAGGGATGATCATGGAAAGGCAACTTCAAAATACAAACCACTCTCACTTTTTCTATTTGGTTTTATGTTAAATAATATTAAAAATGCTTTAAAAAAAATGCTTTCATAGCCTACTAATCATAAAGTCCTCAAATGGCTAACATCATTCTTCCAGGTCAGAATACATGGATAATTCTATGAAGATTACTAAGTGTGCTATTTTACTTTAGTATTTCCAGAGTGCACATACTGATGAGCAAGGCTTGAACAATTTACTCACTAGCTTACTGCTGGCAACAGAGTTCTTCAGTGATGCACAAAGCACATCCAAATGCTTCTTCATAAATATCTGGCTCAGATACAGGATAATTATGATTAATGTGTCCCAGACACTAATGTTTGGGAACTTGAGGTAGACAAGTTGTCACCTGATCCTGTCAGCCCAGTAATCAAAAACTTGTTTTTCAGAGAGAATTTTCCACTTCACTGATTAACACTGATGTTTTGGAAGAATTTTATACTTGTTATAAGGAAACATAAGCAAGCCTTGGTATTGACTCCTTAAAGTGTAAAGAACTGGTGGGACTAACATACCACATTTTTTACACTGTTAACTATTTTGCTGCTTTTCAAAGAAACATAGGCTCATGTATTTGTAACACAGCATTAAAATATTTGTAAAATATCAACTGCCTAAGAACAAAATATCATCACAGATCTTACAATTCAGATATAATCAAATTATTCTCATCTATGTCTTTTCAAACTGAAAATTTGGGGTATTGTATAATCCTATATGGTTTTGTAAGCAGCTTTTAAAAAGGAATATACTTAGACGTCATTCTGTAAAAACACAGATCTGTATTAACACTTTTAATAGATGGAGAATTTTTAGACTGTGTGTACTATGACCAATACGAATTAAAATGATTACTTACATTTATTTAGTGCTTACTATACACTAGGTATCCAAGGGCTTCCTTTGTATGAATCCATTTGATCCTTACAACCCGATTATCACTCCTGTTTCATACAGATGACAAAACTGAGGCACCGAGAAGGAAGTTAGCTGTCTAATCCCTAATGTCCTGCATTTTTCTGGTTAACAGTGCTTTGATATTATAATCAATGTTGCCATGAACATCTTTGTTCATATTGTTAAAGAATGTCTTTAGGATAAATTTCAAAAAGTTGTTGGGTCCAGAGGTATTCACATTTTAAAACCTTGTGTTACACACTTTCAAATATTTCTACTGAGAGACTAATAATTTCATTTAACAATATGAGTGTATGATTCCCCACATCCCTGGTTCTTTTTCATCTTTGTCTGACAAAAACGTATCTAAACACTACTTTAATCTGCATTTCTCACTTTTAAAAACGGAACCTCATAATGGATTTTTTCTAAGCACTCTCCGTCTATCACAATACTAACCTTGTTGACACGTTCTAAACGTTTACAAGGTACAGTCAGCAGTTACGGTAAATTTTGGTAAATTTACATAATTTCAATTTACATGCAAGATGCTCCTTAGAATTTCTACAGGATACAGAGAACAGTTTTTGTTATTGTTAAGTAAGCTTATAAATAAAATTACTAAATAGTTTAAGTTATTACTAATCACTGATCAAGCTTTAGATCCATTTTTCAGCTTTTTTTTTTTGCTCGGCTTTTTTTTTTTGGAGGGGGGGTTGTCTATCGCAGACCTTTTTGGTCAACTGCCAATCACTGTTAACAGCATGCGGATCACACAGCTAGTAGCTGCCAACGCCCAGCTAGAAGAGCTTTCGACAGAGCTTCCAGGCAGGCCTTCGGGGACTCGCTGGAAGGTGCCAGCGCCGCCCCAGCCTCCTTGAGGAGCCGCGCGCCTGACACTCCCCTCTTTGGGATTCGGGCCAAGCCGCCCGCTCACATGACTTTACCAGAGCAAGCTTCCTGTCACCGCGGGCAGCGACCTGAACTCATAACCCCTTTTACTTAGATAAGGAATGGAGTTTCCATCCTCCGCCCTAGGGACCACAAACTTGTGACCACCATCGGAGCACGGGGGAAAAGAGGGTTTCTCTCTAGCCAGACGCGACCCCTTTTCTTTCTGCTCATCCTCTGATTCACGCCTGAGCTCGTTAGTCGTCTTCGGCGCGCCTGGAGGACCCCGTCCTCCGGAGGCTCCGGACCAAGGCCAAGTCAGGAAAGGCAGGCATCCCTGCCACTGTCCCGTGGGGCTAGTCAAAGGGGGTCCTGGCGGAGGGGGCTCTGAGGTTGGGCCGGTTTCTGCGGGGCAAGTTCGGGGCAGGTTCTGAACAGGCGAAGCCCAGGGCACCCAGATTCCCGACAGGCTCCGCGCCCGGGGCCTTCGCGGCTCCTCCGCTCTTGCCGCCGCCGCCGCCGCCGCTGCTGCCGCGGTTGCTGGGGGTCTGGGAGAGCTGGGGCTGTCGCGGGCCGTGGAGAGTCCTTCTCGGCCGCTGTTTTTGCCCGAGGAGACTTCCTTCCTAGGTTGCACCCTGACTCCCGTGGTGTCGAGGGGGAGTCCCTGCGGACACCTCTGCACGCAGTGGAGATGCCTCTGTTTGCCACCAATCCCTTCGATCAGGATGTCGGTAGGTACTTATGCCGCCCCCTGTCCACCTCTCGGCAGACCGCGAGCCCGCTCGGCCCGCTCCCGGCGGACGGTCTGGACCCCCGGGCCGGGCGGAGTCCTTTCTCTTTCCTGAGGCTCTTTCTGTAAGGGTTTGGAGGAGGTTGGGGGCATATCGCATCTTCTTACAAAAAAAAGGGGGGGGGGTGAGTGAGAGAGCTGGGAAATAGGCCTGGAGCTGGGGCTGTGGGTTCCGAAGGAACTGCTGGAAAGGTGGGTGTCGAAGGCCGCGGAGGAACAGCTGGTGTGGATCTGGTGCTGGGACATTGCTCCTGGAAGGACAGAATCGAGAGCCTAGGGAGTCCCAGCTGGCGTAGAATGATAAGCTGTGTGATGAAGGGTTTCCCGGACACATGTCAAACGTTGGGATCTGGGATAATGTTTTAGGTTAGCTTCCTTAGAGGACTTTAAAAATCTGTTTTATAACTACCAGGGAGAGGGAGGAGAGAGCTTAGGTTAAGGGTAGACTCTTAAAGATACTGGGAGAGAGATGAAGATGGAATACTTGACAACAATATAAACACGCTTGAGGACCTGATTCGCTGGGTTGCCTTCCTAGGGTAGGTCTGAGTACTTTAAGTGTAGAAGAGGACCTGGGATCTGAAAATGCTAATTTGTTCTGAATTTGAAATACTCTTTTTTGTTTGTTTCGTGAATCACAAGTTTTAAGTACTGATTATACCAATTCAACAGGTTAGCTCTGTGTGTGTGTTTTCCTGGTCTGAGGGTAATAATGACAGGAGTTTGAATTTTCCCTGAGAGAATTTTGGGGTGATTTGAATACATTTGTATGGTGCACAGGTGTGAAATGAAAGCAAGTTAAACACCATGTCTAATTGTTATAGTCAAGAAAAATAAGGCTGACCTTATGGAATTACTATTTCTCTATTTGTGTAGTTTAATTATGAAAGGTTTGAATTTGCTTTTTAATTCCCAACTTACAGCCTGCCACTGAAGCTTGATGGTTTGGGTTAAGATTAGAAAAGGTTTCAGTCCTGTCCCGGCCACTGCCTAGCTCAGAAGGAAATCATGGGCAGGTTACTTAAGGTAACCAGGGTTCTTTGAGCCCTGGTGTCCTCATCTTTAAAGAGAGGGAAAACACATCCTGTTTGTGGTTCAATGAGATAACATGTATAGAGGATCTGCTGCAGTGCCTTTAGATAGTAGGCATCAACTCAAAGATAACTTTTTTGGGATATTTTAAATGAATGTCCTGCATCTTAGCAGTGGATGGAGCTTTAGAGGTCACTAGGGGTATTTATTAAATAAATAATTGAAAAGTAACATTTAACTTAATAAGTACTTAGCACACACTGTTTATAGGACACTGCTCAGTGACAGAAGAGATAGTGATGAATAAGAGACGTGGTCACTGCTCTCAAGCGGTTTTATAACTTCCTACATTAATTTCCAGGGCAAATGGTTAAAATAAAGCAGTTTCTTAATACCTGCTCATTCTGTTTCCAGCACCTTAATCTAGTTTTCATGGTTGTTTGTAACTGAGCTTCCACCTACATAATCATCTATATATCCCATTGCCCTTTGAACCCACATTTCCATTGGATTTTTAATGTCAAACCCTTTCCCAGTACCTGCACCACCCAATTCAGACACAGGCTCCTTCTTGCTTTTACACTTTTGCTTGTATTGTTTCTTCTACCTTTCTGCACGTCCTCATGATTAAAGGCCAACTCAGCATCCAGCTCATACCTGAATCATATCCTGATTACTCTAACTTGGAGTTTCCATAGGTGACATTACGAATGGTTTGGGCCAGGTAAATGTCTTTGTCGTGGGCATCTGTCCTCTGCAATGTAGGGTGTTTATTAGCATCCCTGACCTCTCCCCACCCAACCCACAGCTATGATTTAAAACATCTCCAGACACAGCTAAATGTCCCCTGAGGGCACAAAGTAGTTTCCAGTTGAGAAACATTGTTCTATCCCACTGTTGTTGCCACCCTTTTCAGACCTCCTGCAATACTTTTTATCTTTACTAAATTATTTCATATTAAAGGTAGTCATATCTTGCGTTATGCTCCTTAACTCTTACTTGTTGCTACAGAGGAGATGCCTAATAAAAATTTGTTGAATTGAGAATGTATCAGTTGAACCTGCTAGGGTAAGCTTCTTGAGTATAGGAGCATTGTTTTGCTCCAGAAAAGCTTATTTTTCGCTTGTTGTGTTTTGGCTGCTCTGGCTGGTGACTGGCGGAGTCTTAGTTCCCTGTCAAACCTGTGCCTTTGGCAGTGGAAGCAGAATCCTAACCACTGGACCACCAGGGAAGTCCCAGAAAATTTTACCTTTTAAAAGCTAGGTTTTAGTGTTTGGATCAATTCTTTTGCATGATCCATGTATCAAAATATCATGAAAGGTTATCTAAGAAGACTTGCCAGAGACTCTCAGTAAATCATCCTCAGACAGAGTCCAGTAGACTCCCATTTAAAATTTTTTTACTAGGATGACATACAGAATATAGTATGTATAATACATTTAACTATTTCTTCTCACTTTATCCATCAATGAGCATGTCAGTGATACACTCTCACTAACTCACTTGATATATTTATCACTTAACATTAGCATATATTTTTACCACTTCAAAATTAATTACCGTTAGCTTTATTCATCAATAAACTGGTAAACTGAAACCATAAATCAGAAATTTACTGATTTATACCATGTGACATTTTACATAAAGAAGTAAAACACTGAAGATAACTTTTCCTTTGAAGAAATGCCTCAATATGTTATTAGAACATATGCTCCCTGAGGACAGAGCTTTTTTTTGGTTTGTTCACTGTATCCCCAACATGTAGACCACTGTCTGGCACTAGTAAACATTCAGTAAACATTTATTGAACACATGAATCTCATTTTAGATGTTTTATTTCTTGCTCAGTTGAACTCTTGAATTATAAAGATAACTCATTCCATCAAGCTTTTATTTCAAAGTCCCTGGTGAATTCCATTTTGCCAAATCCATCGGTCAATTCCTATTCCATTTCTTTGTTGATCTCTTAGCATTCCTGTTTTTGATGCACTTTATTCTCTTGGTTTCTAGGACACCAAACTTTTTCTAACTTTCTGCTTAGCTCTTTTTAAGTCTTTTTGGCTTCCCTCTCTTTCTCTTATTTTTTTTTGTGACTTCCAAATGTTCAGTCCTAGAACTTATTTTTTGATATTTTTTTTCCCCTTTGGAGTCTTACAAGGCAATTTAGCTTAGTGTTAAGAATTCAGACTCTGAAGCTGCACTGCCTAAACTCAGTTCCCAGGTTAGCTGCTGACCAGCCATTTAACTTTGCTAAGTTGCTTAAATATACTGTGCCTTGGTTTCCTTATTGTTAGTATGGGAAATAGAGATAATAACAGATTTTGGTTTCTTCCCCACATCTGCTCAGTCCTTCATCCTTGCCTATTTCAATAGATGGCATTGCTGATATTTACAGTCACTCATCTCTAATGTCTGCTGCTGCTGCTAAGTTGTTTCAGTCGTGTCTGACTCTGTGCGACCCCATAGATGGCAGCCCACCAGGCTCCCCGTCCCTGGGATTCTCCAGGCAAGAACACTGGAGTGGGTTGCCATTTCCTTCTGCAGTGCATGAAAAGTGAAAGTGAAGACGCTCAGTCGTGTCCGCATTTTAGCGACCCCATGGACTGCAGCCTACCAAGGTCCTCTGTCCATGGGATTTTCCAGGCAAGAGTACTGGAGTGGGGTGCCATTGCCTTCTCCGCTCTAATGGCCAGGAGTCATCACTGATTCTCCTTTTCCTTCACCCTCCACATCTATACTCTAAGCCAATTCTTCTGGTTCTCCTTTAAAAATATATCTAGAATCTCATCACTTCTCCTTTGCTCATCACTGTTATCTTACTCCAGTCATCCTTCTCTCTTTGATAGGCTGGCAGGAGCTATCGGCTTCTTTGCTTCCATTCTTGCCCTTTACAATCAGTTTTCATGTACAAAGATCCGTGTTCTTTTAAAAATCTGAGATACTGTCATTTACCTGCTCAGACTCTTCCAGGACCTTCCCATGCCACTTATTGGGAAATGCAAGTTCCTACTGTGGCTCACAGTCTGATCCTTCCTGTGTTCTGATATTATGATCTCCAGACACTTTCATTCTAAGCTTCTTGGTTCTTAGTACACCAAGCTCATTCCTGCTGTGGTATCTACGTTGTGCTGTTTTCTTTGTCTAGGACATTCTTACCCCAAGTATTTGAAGATTTGATATTCATCAGTCGTTCAAGACTGTTTAAATAAGTTTCTAAGAGAGGCTTCCCCTAATTTCTTTCTGTAAAAAATACCATCTTCACCCTGTGTCCTTGTTCCATTTTGTTTCTTCATTGTACTCAGCTACCTCCCATTGATTGATTGATTGATTGTCTTGTGTGTAGAATATAAACTCCTGGAGGATGAGAAATTTTAGTTCTGTTCCTAGTACGTTAGGGCCAATGCCTGGTACATAGGAAGCACTCAGTATGTATTTATTAAATAATGAGTTGTTGATACTTTGCTCCCTCTCTGGCCTTGCCTATCTATTTGGTGTTCTGTTACCACCTAAAAAAAAATCAGTGTCAGAAAACTGAGCTTATCTTTCCAGATGGGCTCTTTCTTAATTATGTAGTTTATTTTATCATGTTCTAGTTATCTTGGTTTGAAACCCAAGAGACATCTTTGGAATCATGACCCTGCTTCTGCCGAATCATCATGTCTTAGTTTTTATAATACTGCATTTGCATTCCTAGTCACACTGCTTTGGTCCAGTTCATACCCTATAATCTTGGACATGTTTTGTTAGCCCAGTCAGTATCAAACCACAACGAGTTTAATTTTCATAAATGTCAGTATCACAGTCTCCTGCAGTTCAGTGTGAGCGAAAGACCTTGCTTGGGCTTTGGGTTTAAACTCTAGGTGCAGCATCGGCTCTTAGTAAGTGGGCAGAATGTGGACTTAAAAAACA